AGAACATAAGGTTGACGGAAACTCTGGGACTCCTACCTGATGAGCCTCAAGAAGAGCGAAACCGGTCGTGGGTTGTCGTGGATCCTTCAGCAACCTTGTGAGTAGTTTCCTTTATTGAAGGATATCGGGTTAGTTTGGCACAAATCAAATATACCTGAAATTTGCAGCTGACAGTAGGACAAGGCAGCGCCTACTATAAGTAAAAAGTTCCAATCCACACTTAGGCCAGTTTAATACAAAAGCTCAAAAACAACATCCGAAAGATACAATAAAAACATAATAAAGAATATTGTGGCCAAGTAATTCGAAATGGTGTAGTTAATAACGTCTTTGCCTTTCATCTGAGGGATCCGAGTTCGATCACCTGGAGGCCCACTCTTCCGTCGGATTGGACACTCGAAAGCAAGTAGAATTAAAACAAAGTTGTAATATCGACATCGGTAACTAGAAAGTAAGCAAACCGGTGGACAGGTCCAAGTCACGATACTCATGTGTAGTCAAACAAATGGGAAGAATAACCGCTGAATGCCGTTGATTACCACCGAAACGGATTGTTTTACTTAAAGCCCCACGTTTAACCCATGGCTCCAGGTGGCTAAGTAATAAAGTATATCCGTCACACGCGTCTATTATTAAAAGATATTATATTATTATTATAGTATATATTATTAAAGATATTAAGACTTACTATGGGTTGCTTTCAGTGAAATACTGAGTGATAGGCACGTTTATTTCAACAATCAAAGACAAGAGAGATCAACCGTGTCCCTCAAAAGATAAGTCAACTCAACTGGTGAATTATTTGTGCTACCTTGAAGGTGTCTGTAACACGTGACCCAAACTGTTTAGTTAGTAGACAGACGCACGTGTTACGCAGACCTCAGAATCATGTGGAACCTCACGGAATGTCAAAAGGGAAGTCTGTAGACATCACGTGGTATTCAATGCATGAGTAAAAATACCGTAGTCTGATGAAAAGACAAAATCGGTGATTCAGCCATCCAATCAACACTTACGAACACACATTTCTGGTTGTTGCCGGTCATCGTTCCTAAATATGGTAGTTACGAAGAGCCAATCGTAGCTCAAGATTGTAGTTGAGATTTCATCATATCGTACTTTCAGTTACTTAACAAACTAACACGAAGTTCCGCTGTGCTCCACAGAAGGATTTCGAAGTACCAGCAGATTACGATGACGATGAATTCACAATACTGTGCTAGACAACGGAGTTTTGAACTCGTTTCTTCTGACTCGCCAGAAGGAGGGCTACCCGCTAAGTTTGTCGACCGGCATAAACTTAAACCCCGACCGCGAGTTTTGTGAGCCGAATTGTGGTAACACTTTCAAAGCGGTTATCCAAACAAAAGGAGGCTGGCCCGCTTTTAATAAGACAGTTCGATACAGGCAAAATCACGCATCCCTGTGGATTTCCGACTTTACATCCGATTGCTCTTTCTCGAGTATGTCAATGAGTGACCAAGCACAGCGTTTCTTGGCAGCACCAAACGCTGGAGGGAGTTCAATAGTGTCAGAGATGCTTTCGTACGAAGTTTTGGGGCGATATATGGGAGCCACTCTGATGGAGGTAAGTTATTAAACTAATTCTTGTAACCGTCCTACTCTTACACATAAACAGTCCCTCAAAATGTTGATTTAGTCAATTTCGAAAAAATGCACAGACATCTTCAAATGACTGAGAATTACTCTGAATAAAGGAACCTGTTCATGCTTACTATGGGAGTTCTTTATTTGTCCACCAAATCGTCGAAAACAGAACATGTTCTCGGAAGCCTACAGCATCCCGTCCATTGGATGTTTCTCCGTGAATTCTATGTTATATTTTATGAGAGCCACTTACCTAAGCATTGCCCACTCTAATTAGACCGAGAAGAAATCAGTTTATCTACATAAGTTGGATGGGAATTTTTTACTTTCAGTAGTAAAAGCTTGATTGACATCTTTGAACGGAACACCAGTACATTTATAGAGGTATCCCAACTATTGATGAAACTGACAATTGATTTCCTGTAAAAAATGTTGGCTGCTGCGAGAGTGTCACGAATTGTTTCTGCTAGACGGAAATGGTAGGTTTTCATCCAACTCATGATGATCCCTTGAGCTCAACTCCGATTCCCTGATACAGTCAGACAAGTAAAACGAAAGTGCTCTTATAGCCACTGAATTAGAGCGAGATGAATGCGCGAGCATCGCACACTTTCCTGTATAAAATTTAAAAAATATACGAATACCTTCTGATAGTTCGAGAGTAGCCGCCAGCTGGACGCGATTCGGACGGAAAGTTGTAATTATGAAATGGATCATCAACATAGTAGCTGTGTGTTCCTCAAGTCAACTAGTTTGCGTTTCAGATTGTCCTTCATTGTCGTTCATTACGAACATAAAAATTAAATCCGAGCGGCAGATATGGGAGGGTGTACAAAAAATATTAAGTAAATTGAGAAGTGTTCAATTTGAAGGCATGCCACGAGTTATTCCAGTCGGGCAAGATGACTCCCAATATCCGTAAGAACATCTGACGTGGAAACATGTCAATAATAGTAATTGAAGAAAGGGCAAACAATGATGAATGCTCTTCAAGGCGCAGTAAGTGCTATCACAGTCAAGACTGGCACATCAGATAAAAAGTGTCCTTCATACTGGGTCAGGTGTGAAAGTCAATGGCAAGAATGAACACCCAACGCCGTGTACCAAGCAAAAAGTATCGTGGACACAGAAAACCCAAAATGGTGAGCAAACATGAGTCAGTGACTGCGACTTTATGGAGTCCCAGTCCAATGACTGCCTTGGTGGGTTGATGAAAGCACATCCCTTGATATGAAATCACCATCGGTTGGTGAATAAAAAAACCAACATCGCGGTCGATGGCACGTAGGGCTGAGATAATATCAATGGAACAATCATTAGAACCCTGCTTCTGCTTCTTCTCACTTCATAAAATCATTCCGCACACATGCTTACGTTTATTAGGGTTGCTCATTGCTTCTGGACAGTGACCTGTTAAGGCTCGATGACAAACTACGAAGCAACTCATCGAATAAGGTGTATCTCAGACGAGGGAAGCATTTTCCGAGCTCCCTTGCAACTCAATTATGACGAGTACACTCAGCATCAGTCGCTATACAGCAGGAGTGCAAAATATGCACCAGACTCTCTGGTGGAACACAGTTTTCATGACATACACTCGTCTGGTTCCCGTGACCGCGTGGTCCTAAGTAGGTCGGACCGGAGCTGGATGCCCAAAGGAATACGCTTTCTGGAAACACAAGCCATTGACTTGAGAAACCGAAGGGGACGAACTCTCACAACCCAGACCATCAAGGCTGTTGTGCAGAATATCGTCCCAAGCAGCCACCAGCTTTTCTTTGGTGCTCACAAATACACCTTGGACTCGGATCAGAAGGCTGATACCTGATGCAGGACCACTAACCACACTGCGCAGTACTCGGCACTGAGTAGACCGTAACCTTTCCGTATGACCCTTCCGCTTCATCTGGATGGTTGAACTTCTGCCTAAGATACCGAGTCCCTCAAGTCTATCGGCGTGGTTATAGCTGTTTGTGCTGTCCTCCAGTAGATGTAAGCAGCCACGAACAGACCACCTGATGCGACTGTCCAACCTTTTGGGCGTGTTTCCGTGGACTTGGATGAGCACGAGTGAATGTCTCAGCCTAGGTACTAGGTAGTTCCTTGTGAACTGCATTGTCTGAAATCGCTTCAATGAAGCATCCGTCAACTCATTGGGCATCCTGAACAGCTGCTGTCGGTTGTTTCAGACTCCCCCTTGCAAATAAAGAGGACACTCAGTATGTCACTGTCTGTCAGAAGGCGAGGGAGAATGGGCTTTTCGGCGAGGCAGAAGGGTTCGACTGAGACCACGGTCGCCCGACGTTTTACATCCACGCAATTTTCCACTGCTTCCGCTTTGTGGGCGTTGGTCGTCATATCAGCTCTACTTAAGGCGAGCCTTGCATTCTGCACACACGACCGAGTTGATAGCATAGAAAAAACTATTCGCTAATGGAATTTGTACCCCCGACAATCTAAAACCTCATGCATTGCAATGATGAAGAATGTTGGGGAGAGTGGATCTGTATCACACAGCTGCAATAGTGAACCTCGGAATTGGTAAAAACTGCTATAGCATTCTCATACGACTGTTTGGTATACCGAACTACGGGTGGTGGTGCTACAAACGCCTCAGCAAATTGTCATGCCAAACCGAATCGAATGCTTTCGTGATATGAACAAACGTCAAACCGAGGATAGAAGCAGTCACCCAAGAGTGGCGAAGTAGGACGTATAACAGCGAGATAGCTTCCAAATGGCCGCCTCAACGTCGAAATGAAAACGTAAATCAGGTCACTCTCAGATGATCCTGGTTCGGGACCTTTACTAGTGATACGAACATGGGACAAACACGGTGGGCAGCCCCAAATAATAATAGTGTAGAAATACCCAGGAATGTCGTTGACATTGAACTGACGATGAGTTCGGAGAGTGGATGTGTTTAAACCTGGGGATGAGTCACCTATTAAAGCGGAACCTACGGCAAACTTCGTCACCTGTAACTGGCCTGACCAAACTCCAGTCGGATGGTAACATTGCGCGACTTAGCCGGCCATCCACGTTCTTTTGAGAAGAGAGCACCTGTTTCCAGTACTGCTCGGCTTCCAGAGATAGATCCTTCAACGACACAGAGCACAGCAAACGCTCCGGCTTTTCGTCTTTGGTAATATAGGGTCTGGATGGCGGTGTAGTAGGCCTAGCGGATCTGTTTTTGCTTGACCGTCACACGATGAGCAAGCTGACGACGGCATCGGGAGACAGGATTCCACGGGTGTGAAAATTTTTTGGAAGAGTGGAGATCCAGGAAGAATAGGACTTGTTACGATGTCATGATGCCGGACTGAAACCTTCGGGCAAATGAAAGGTCAATACTAGCGAGCGAACTGATGGAATAGGATTTCAAGAGTGACATGGCACAATCCACGTTCGTGGATGTGAACCCGACGATGTCCTACCGAGCCAGCTTTCGATTTGCAGCACTTGCCATAATCCCCACACGTGAGTCCCTCAGGTCTCTCCTATGTACTGGTTGGAACTGGTGCGGAGGCGTCGGATGATTCGTAATGTACATTGTCGCACAGCACATTGAAATCAAACAGGGTGGTTAGTCCTGTCTGTCTGGTTACTCCCCTTATAAAAGCTAGGCCAATGGTGGAAGCTAGGGTTCTCACCTTTTGCAGGAAAGTACATTAATTCTGTGAAACATTTTTCTCTGAAATCAACATTAGTTTCCAGCTCTTTATCATCCACTGCATTATCTCTATTCGAACTGCCTAACTGTTCATCTTCTGAGTATTCCATCATGGGGAACTATAAATTTTTGCTGTACTGAATTTGGCACATTAGTCTGTATCCATGCGGTTCTAGCCGAACAAAATATGAAAGCAGAAAGATTTGTTGTTACTCCAGTGTTTTTTATGCCAATCGAGCGCACAGTTGGTATCAAACGCCGAACAAAAACAGCATGAGTTATTCCGATCTTGATGTTTCCCCCCATGTAGGATACTTGAGTTGTATTTACCTTAAGAGTCGGCTCCGCTGAGTGCAATTCTGAGTGGAGCAGCTAGCTACTGCGGTGACACAAGACTCACCGGCAATGAGCTTTTAGGAAGCAGCTGCGTGTAACCGTAGTCTTTTCGTGTGGTATTTGGGATTAGCCTGGCTATTCGGAGATGGAGTATGCAATTGTACAGACAGTGTATTTTTACCTTCCAATGATACACTGGTAACGAACTGCTTTGATGTAGCTCATTACCGGTGTAACTTCAACATCATTCCAGCTATCCAATAACCTAGAGCTGGGAAATTTTTTCAAAGAATCGCATTTACCTATTTCATTGCACGACTAGTGAAGGTAGCTATCCACATATCAGAAGAGGACTGTGGTACCTTCTGAATATGCGTCCAATTTGTGCATTCGCTCTTCGATGTAGTCACAGAGAATGCAGGTCGAAAATATCATAAAGGAAATGAGGCTATATGCGCTCCCCAAGACCACTGATCACCATGGAATAGAGCCCGTCCCAAGTAACCTAATAGTTAGATAGCCAGTCGTTACCGGCTTCAAAGTTTTCTCACCGAATTCGTGGATGGTCTGAGAAGATGGTGCCCACACACTCTTCACACGTACCTCCGGGCTCCGGTTGTACTGCTTGTCACTGAAAACACCAAACAAAAGTATGGTAGCTCCATTGCTTCCGACGAAAACTTAACCCATTTAATGAACATTTTCAAAGTTTCACACTAAGGGAACAGTATACCATGAAGACTATCCTTTGGCAGGGCCGAACGATGTATTTTGCTACCACGGAGAGAGCGGCATCGGTCTCTTTATAGCCAGGCGAGCCATTGCGACAGAGCAGTTGTGCAATTTGGAAAATCTACACTTTGGCGTGGCCCTAGCATTAACTGGAGGAACGGTACAAGTGTAACCTAATACTACTGATGGGGGCATGCGAGTAGTATGTTTTCTCGTAAATCCGCTCTGTAGCATTTGCTTGCAGTTGAGTAGCAGTCAATGAATATCCAGGAAAGTTCAGTAAGACGCGTTCAAGGAGAAGATGGATATTCAGTTTTGTAAACAAGTTGCACATGGGAGTTTTACTCCCCTATCCAATAGTCTGTAGCTGTTAAGTTGGCATTTTCTGATAAGCAACTCCGCAGCGAAGGCCTTCTTCCTTTCACCAGTAGAGTGCTGGTAAGCCTCATGGCTTGTTGCAGTGCACACGAACCACTTATGTTCAGTTTTCAGGGTCATTAGTTTGTCCCAGGAATACGCACCGGCGATAACCAATAAATTCAAACTCGGCGTCCGAACATCCTGGAACACTATAGTGAGACAGGCATCAAGTCTCATGCTAAGCAGAGTTCACATTCCATGAATCCATTTAAAAACGGCTCCTTCTGGGTAGTCGAAATGGTAGAAACTCATCAATTCCTACAGGGGGGTAGTTACACTAACTACATATTCTGGAATGGAATGTGGTCTCTTTGGGGCCGGGGCCACTATTCGGGATCTAAGTGAGGGACTGTTACAATCGAGAGCAGCATGACCAGTAACCAGCAATAGTATGGTGACTAGAATGAAAACACTCGTCAGATGCAATTGGAGACGGAGGACAAATGCAACTATTGAAGGAACGCACCATCGAGATACTACGTTTTTGCTTTTTGCCAAAAGCACTCATTTGGAGTGCCTGTATCCAATTAAAACGTTTTTGGAAACCGTGTAGCCAAGGAGGCATGAAACGTGGAAAAGTCCTTTTGAATTTCTATGAGTGGCATACTCTGAAACTGCTACTTGCAGCACACCGACGACGAAAACAGGAGTCACGGAATATCACACTGTTCATATATGAGGACACTGTTAGTGGGCAACTAGATTACTGTATCCACTTGATAATTCGTAGACTTGATTGGGAATAATAATATAAAATCAAGCAAACATTGGCTTTTTAGCTCTACAATCAGCAAATACCCGTCGTGAGTGACCATACGACCAAATAAAGCTGGTCATTTGTAATTTTGAATCAATGGTATGGAATAGCCCTGAAGAAATTGCAAGACCCTTGCTATAACGTACGCAGGACTTCAACAAAGCTTGAAGAACAAATATAAGACACTCCGCTCCTAGATTTGACATCTTCGACCGTTAGCTAAATTCCAAACTATCCAAAAGTGCTGTTCTTTCAGGCCTTTTGAATGACTCATCTGAATCACTGAATCCACAGAAATTGCCAAACCAAACGTGATCACTTTCTGGGCACTCTGATAACCAATCAAAATTATTTTCTGCTAAATGCTTTCAATGTTCGTTTATCCCGAAGTGTTCAGTACACAGTGCAATTTGTCACGAACATATTGTGGAAATGGTGAATGAGAACGAATTAAGGACAACAGAAATGGACAGGTAATTCCTAGATCATCCGTGAAGGCCTTGAAAAGTTCGGACTACCCGACTTTTGAGTACAGTCAGTCCTGAGGAACTTGATATAAAACCATCGAATCACGAAGAACCAACCGAAGCGTATATCCCCAGCGTTCAAACGAAGTCGCTGGGCGGATTATGCTGACGATTACTGAAAATTTTCAGCATGAAAATCGGACCATACCGAACCAACCAACCCGTGTCGGGATGAAAGGTATTGTGGATCGCCTTTTCTTGACTGACTACTTCTACTTTATCAATACGTAGTTATTTTGAAACAACACTTTAGTTCATAGTGCACAAGGTGCCGGGCTACGGTCACCACCAACCAGTGATTTTGTCGTCGCCTTGCAAGTATCCGAGAAGACAGGAGTCATGGTGATATTATAGCGAAACAACACTAGGTGGTTTAGGCATTGTTTCACTCTTTTCTAGAATCACTACTTATTTGGTTATTCGACACATTTTCCTGTTCCTTAATTTCAATATACCAAGATATCTGGACGTTCATCTTAGTCTTCTATCTTATGATTGTTATCAGGAGTTACAGCCGACAAATTCAGCCTGAAACTCACGGCTGAGGTTCCTCTTGTAAGCAGACCCGATTGGTTTCTTATCACGTATGTGCCTTTCCTTTTATCATTTGCATCTACGGATCATTTCCGTCGCCAACTGGAGATCTCATTTAAAAAATACGTCACTTCACGTAATCTCTCGCATCGAATTCATTGCTCTCGCGGTCGGTACACTGGAGATAACGAGGTACTCTTTCCCGGNNCGGGGTGCTCTTCCCGGTACCCCCCAAGGACTCTCTTTCCCGAGATTATTCCTGAACGTAGTTAGCTTTTCCGTGCCGTTGTTTCTGCTTCCAATGTAACCAAACAGTTCAGTGTCTGGAACACTTATTAGGATCTCTCTAAGTCTATCCAAACGTACAGTGTGAGGTAAGGTCCTAGGGATATTTTTATACGGCAGTGAAGCATCAGTGCCAACATTGATGTTGCTGTCTTTGATGATGATGATATTTTTATAGACTCTATTATGTACAGCAGCAGCCGTGGCCTTTACTTAACCTTGTTAACCAATTCAACTTGTGGTACGTCTGTCACGTAATCTCACTCTTATATCTCTAGTATATTGCATCTTGCTGTTCGGTTAGTGCGGGATGTTCAGTAAATAAGCGACTATTGTAAATTCACCCTTGTGGGTATATAAGACCAGTGTTGGTCTAGAAATCCACAAATCAGGATGAAATATGGAACAAACCAAGTCGCAGAGAGCTCATTTGTATTGAAGCCCTCATTCTGAAACATCTCGGCAGTATTCAGATGTGAAAACAAGAAAATTGAAATTCCTCGACAGTAAACCTTATGCTGGGAACCTGAATATATCTTCATTGGAATTGACGGTACGTCCAGTTACTGCGCGCAGTGTGGAGTGNCCTCCAAGCAAACCGCTCTCGATAGTAGATAATCTGATATTTTTTGGCAAGACGCTTTAATATAATCAGTATATCGTTTCAGAAGGGGTTTGGAAACAATCGGTGGATTTATTGCTAAACGCTTCGCTTCTGACACGACAGCTTCATCAGATAAAATGAGTAACTTACCAACCACGCCGAGTTTTTGGACACTGAGGTTCTTTTCAACAACCCGACTTAATCAGCGCTGAATGTCTGTCAGAAGTTCTTGGGGATGATGAACACATGAATACGTAATGAACAATCGTTCACCTTTTGAGGGGCCTAGCTGTCATGCTACCCAACCGAATAACGAGGGCTGAGGTACTCTCGGGTTGCCCAAGCCTGAAGAGCAGCAGTCGAGATACCAGGGTTATGTTCGAACTAAAGACCTTCCGGTCAGTTAGTTCATGCCCTAAACACTGAACTATCCCAAGATCAATGGAGACGACTAACACTTACGACAGATGGGCAAGAGGTAAATCATCACCAAGCTGAATCGGGTTTTTGGGTACTTATTTTTCAGTTTACGGCTTTTTACAGTACATAATTCTCTTGGATGTGGTTCACAAGTTTTGACCTCTGTGAGTTGAGAAATACTAGGACCATTAGACTGGATCTGGGGAAATTCGGTGGATATGTAAACTGTATACCTTAAGCCTATCCGAAGGCTAGCTGGTTTTGGCAATGCTTAGTCAAGCAAGCGATCTCTGCACAGAATAGGTCGATCGAATAGCGGCACAAACTAGGGCAAAAAAGGACTTCAAGAGAGCGGATATCCAATAGGTTTATTAAAATAGCAAACTGAGTATTGGGCCAAACACCAAACAGCAGCTATCCCATACAAAACGAGGACGTCTGAAGTAAACAGAAGGGTGTTAAATAAGGTTGACATTAAAGTAGCGCTCCAGAAGGGAAATCGTTAGCCTCAGTATTCGTGCAGTTAGACAATCGTCTCTTACTTGGTGGGACAAGACTGCGTACAACAGACAGAATGTAGCAACTACATCAGCCAAACAGACGCGGAGCTGTACACCAGGATCGGTGAGCACAAGCGGTGCATAAACAGCCCACGAAGAAACGCATATATATACCAGGCGGGAATCAAAGATTCACATCACTCTTGTTTGAACACTCATCCTCCTGTCCTGGTGTAATTTTTCTAGGGAGTCCACACCTGAAGGAGGAAGCACTGGACTCGAGTTTCGATCTTATTAGTGCTCATCAGCAGTGCGTACCCTATGGCTGTACCGGCGTTTGAACACCGGACATTTGACATACGAGGCGGGCATTACCGCTACTACACCAGCGGACACATCTGAATTTTCATGTCTGAACAGGCGACAGGCTTCAGTGATGTAATTGGTATGCCCACTGCTAGAACGATGACTCAGTAACTGTCCTCGTGTGACGATTGACTGACTCGACTATCAGGACGTTCCAATCAGGTAGCGCCACAGACGTTTGAAACCCGAACGTCCAGAGATCAAACCCCGGCAAGGCCATAGGATATGCACCGCTGATGAGCCCTAATAAGATGCGAAACTCCAGTCCAGTGCTTCCCCGACATAATTTAAAGATTCGATAATAGCGGAGTATACACTCCACATAAAAAATAGTTGGGAAATGTGGAAGTTTCGGGGTGAGGACTAAAATGCGTACCATAGCGACTACTGACCGAGGGAGTGGAAACCGCCAGGCATCCCGAGGTGAGTAAGAGACAGAAAGCTACCAAGTGTGTGAAAAGTGGTTTCAGATTAGGCAGTTGCCACGTGGCGACGCAAGGCCTAAAGTACAATGCTTAGACAAGTCAGAATTTACTTAGTGCCCACAAGCCCCAAACCAATTGTCTCAGCACTTGCAAACCAAAACACATCAACAAAAAAGGAATTTCTTCACTCAGATACCTCAAAAGGCAAGAAACAGTACCTCAGAACTCCATTCACCTTAGTGATGATTCACTACTGACCTATGTGTTAGTCATTCTCACCAAGCCACAGGAATTTCTGACGAACAATTACCACTGATTAAGTCGGCTAACTGAAAGGAATCTCACTGATTGGTACTCCATCTGCTTTAGAGTTCGGGTAACAGTAAGTTATTCACTGGGCTTGATAAAGCCATTGTGTCAAGAGCGAAACGCTGAAAAACGGTAAATCAACCAATTTACTACATCTCCCCAAAACGACTTTTCATTGGGTTCTAAATATTCCCCAATTGATTGAAAATCACCACATAGTGCAAAAAAACACCGGGACGGTGATAAAAACCTTGTGGCTGTGTTACTACCGGTCCAATTGTGACTACACCGTACGCAGCACTGACTTTCGTTGCGATTGGATTCACAGAACTGCAAACATTTATCAGCAAATGCCGCGATCGCAGTCGATTTTAGACGCCCGCAGCATTCACAATGACACCTGCAAATTAAAGCACTCATAATTTCGTTAGTCCCAGTAGGACATAGTACGCTTTTTCATTGTTCCATATGTGAATTTTTCCAGACTGAAATGGAAATTGCTTACTATCCAGTCGGTGGTGCCAAGACCGACTATACCATTAACCTGGCATGTGCCTCCAGGAAGGAAAAACAGATTGTCCTGGGTGTTTCAGTGACGAGGGCCATGACACATTCGGTTTTCAACTACACCCAAGAGGAAGCCGAACGCCTACTTCGCAAAAAACTTAAGGGAGTGATCTATTCTACGCGTAACAGTGGCGGATGTTGGCGACGGCAAATTCTTCATATTTGGTCACCAAAACAAGAAAATACCAACCTGGTTGCTGCAGCATACCAGGCGCTGTTACAAAAGGCCAAGAGCCATCTACTTGTCAACACGATCATCTTAGTCACGACGGCTAAGAATACACCCGAAATATTCACAAATCAGATGGTCCCGAAAATTCCCTCAATGACTGGACAAGCCATACACACTGCTTTTCGACATCCTATACAACACAAGAAGTCTTCCGACAACACGTCGATTTCGACCTACATTCTGCTCCCAGTATTTGTTTTACTTTTCATGCTCATTATTGAAATCAGTTCTCCAATAACCTGTGCATGTTTTCCATTATGATTTCTTTATGTGATTATTAGAGCCTGTTGCGAAGTACCAGTTTGTTAAGTGGATGTATTTGTTCATTCAAAGTCTTCTTCATGAGTTTTCACCAGGGATCCGTGAAAGTGTTTCTTCGCCCCTACTGTAGCTCATCAGCGCTTACAGTCAAAAGAGAAACAATGGGTTTCGGGAAGTCTGTGAAGGAAGGAGCTAGTAGAGATGGACGAAAGAACAATAAGACTAGCCTCGAGCTCGACGTAGCCTACCAGCTAAGACATGAAGGGCGGGAGGTCCGTAGCGCCTGTCGAATGTTTTGGCAAGCTGTAAGCGTCAGCCCTAGTGAAGGGTTCACGGAATGTCCGAATAGTTACCATGGTCTGTCAATATTTAAATAAACATTCAAGGTCTTAACCGGCGAAGCCGCTTAGATCAGGGTAAGTCACGCTAAGGAACCGATTCTTCGTTCAACTAGCCAATGAACTATACGATCGAAGAAGATTGAAGCCATAACACAGACGGAAGTGAAGTCTGTAATTTCGAGAAACAGTAATTCTGACTCTGTAGAACTAACCAAAGAGCTGTATGTGTGGCCATGATTATATTCTAGGCCCAGCATGACTTCCTGTTCATTGATTATATAGACCAGCAATCCGATAGAGTCTACCACTGGTGTGTATAGATGCACGAAGAGACCAGTGCAGAACCATTCATCGCACACAAGATCAGCTGCAAAAGGTGATTTTGCACAAATATCCCATGGAATACTACCCGGCCGCAATATGAATGTCTATTGAAACACAACTGTCTAATTTGGGTAACATATGGTGATTAGGGGTGACATCTACTACTATACTGCGGGACGTGCGACATCTTTTTGAATTTCGGAGGAATTCATTAGCATTATAATTACACTTTAGACCAGGCGAAGTAATATGTGCTAAATCTTATTTTCTCACAATCTTTGAGGCAGATAGTGAACCCGAATGGGCCTCACCGTGCTTGCCGGTCGATGAATTAGTCTTGGGTTTATATCGAGTCATGTCTAACGCACGGTTGGTCATTCTAGCTGTGACCAGGCGTCTGATAGACCGAGAACTTCCAGCGGAACAACTTCAGATCAAATATCAGTACGTCCCAATTGATGATAATATTGGTGGGTAACTTAAATTTCCGATCAATTACTTGAGAAAATGCTTAGAATCATCATCTATACCTTTGTAACTATCAGCCAGGCTTAGTATGCTGACCATACACCGGAAAACAGTTTGGCTCTTAACTAATGAGTAAGGAGTTCTCAAAAAAAATACAATTTCAGGTTTCAGGTTTCTTTCTGGAGAAACACGCTTATAGAGTACGAGCACAGTGGTTCGGCACCACTCTCATCCATAGCACGACCTCAGTGTCCAACACTGGTGCTTCGCTACTGTATAACCATGATTTATCTAAAATCCCTACTTTGAAGAGAAGAATAAAACTGGACGAGAAATGGACTCATCCCGAGGTACCTACAACTCCATACACTTATTCCGGTAGTCTATATAGAAAGTGATAACAAGAACGCTACCGTAATCGATTAGCAGCCATATCATGCAGCGTTTCCAACCAGGCACTGTTGGAATCACTTGGTCCACATCCTGGGAGGCGAATCGCACCGACAGCATCCAGACTTTTCGCAATCTCTTCATACTGCTGGCAGAAGCCAAGTCAAGAGTTGGTCACCTCTCTCTTCCGACAATCTGAATTGAGCACGGAAAACAGTACTTCCTTCGGCAAAGGATGCATCGACATGCGAAATACATGACCTAACCGACCCACCTTCTCGTGCTGGACACATTCTAAAATGGAATTCCCCGTTGCCAACCGAAAATTAGTTTTCTAATTGCCCCACAACGGATTCGCCGGCATCATCCCACATGAGCTATGGTTCTGAGACAACCTCAAGTCGTCTCGGTTCCGCTGCTGGAACAATCATCATCATCGACAGCATGACATCAGTGTTCAACACTGATGCTTCACTGCCGTACGGATGGAACAAGCCAAGTCTCACAGCCATACAATAAGACAGCCTTTACCGTAGCCTGGTCTACACGTCCGTTGAGATTCAAGGCTACGGCGCTCTGCTGCCATATGTATCTCAAATTAGCAAACGCAACCCGAGCGTTCCTGATTTGTGTATTGCTCCTATCTCTCACACTACAGTCCAAACTAATACAACTTCCAAGATAAGTAGAAACTCAACAACTTCGATTGCCTCGTCTTGGATTGTAAGTGGCGTGATCAGTGACTGCATGTCCAGGTGCACGGCCCTACGATCTGTGGGTGCAAAGTGCATCAAGTGGCGTGATCAGTGACTGCGTGTCCAGGTGCTTGGCCCTACGATCTGTGGGTGCAAAGTGCATGCCAAAGGACGGGATGACTCCGGTCAGTTTATCCAAAAATAACTACTTCTTTTCTTCGAAGACGAGAACGACGTCATATGAAAATTCTGCGTCGAAAAGGTTTTCGTCAGCAGCTATTTGAAGACCAAGGTTTTGACGACGTTCCAGAGTTCGTTTACTCGATCATGAAGTTGAATACGAATGGGAGAAGTGGGCATCCACAGATTTCAAGTGTTCAATGGCAACTTCATGCTTCTATCCAAATATTCGAAATTTTAATGAATTCATTCTAAGATATTTCTCAGAAGACCGAATGAAAATAATCGGGACATCCTGACGTTGAAAAAAGTATAATCATTATCAAAGGCAGTAACATCAGTGCTGAAACTAATGACGCACTGCCGTGCAACCATAATGTCCATCTAATTATACTTAAAGCCCTAGAGTGAAAAAAGCGCGTGGGGGGAGGGGACTTAGTGCTGGTCTGTCAAGCATCCTTAGGTGTGAAGCACTGGTGTTGAACACTGATGTCATGCTGTCGATGATGATGATTCTTAGGTGCCTACACCTCCAAACCTCCAATCAGACAATCTGGAAACTGACAGCACGAATACCACTGACATCCGTTAGCCGCCATTTCTTGCAACGTTTCTAGCCAAACACAGACGGAGTCACGGGGATCCCATCCTGGAAGGCATACAACACCAACAACACCCAAACTTTCCGTGATCTCTTTCACACCATTTTGCCAAGTCATGCGTTGTCCACTTCGCAGTTTGCGCCGTTCTGAAGGAGCCACGGAGGACAACACTCGTCTCGGTAAAAGGAGCCACGAGGACAACCCTCGTCTCGGTAAACGGTGGTTCGGCATGCATAGCACGTGACCGAGCCATCGTAGTCGCTGGAGATGGACGTTTTCCCCGACTGAAGTACCTGCCGCATAACCAAATATTCGTTCTCTAATCACCTTGTTACTAACACGTTGACGCTATCCAACAACAGCAACGCTTCTGAGGCATTGGTGGTAAAAAAACTCAAGATACCTCACATCATCTGCCCGCATAGGCGGGCACCCATACAACAGTCCTCACTGTAGCGTTACGCGGGAACCTTAAAATCTAGTGACGCCTTTTTGACGTCACAAGTGACGCTAACTAGGAAACGCGATTCAGGCCTTTGAGATTCTTGCACTGACTTCATCGGACAAAGAACTAATACAACTACCGAGGTATGTTAAGTTTTCCACAATCTTCAGTGACTCTCCTTTAAGCGCAAGGGATATGCTCAATGACTGCACGTTCTGAAGCATTACTTTGTACTTTGAAGGTGGAAGGCGCATGCCAATATGATGGTGGTCAGTCTGTTCGACACAACCCGTACTTCGCTTTGGTTTTCAAAAGTGAGGACGATGTCATCTGCAAGCTCCAGATCGACAAGGCAACAGCAACAATTTGAACACCTCATTATTCCATCAATGAAGTTGAACAAGTTTGTCGGACACTTCCATGTCGTGATCACACTAAATGAAAGTATTGTGCACAACCGTCTGATGAGTTAGTTTATTAGTCCCGTTAGTTGCATTCATCGTTAACCAAGGCGAAACGTCGCCAGGCGAATTTCATTATGCTCACGCAATTAGGATAAATAATTATGACCTATAATCGGTATCCACAGGCTGTCGTGAAACTTCTGCCATTTAAGATGACAGGTAAATCTCCCACCTCGTGGGTGACAAACTTTCACTGCAAAAAATGCTTGCAATGCAAGAAAATAAGATATTCGCCTACTTTCCGTCAATGGACAGGCGACCTCTCGAGTGCAATCATTCAAAGACCTGATTTCGACCATTCAAAGGAACGGAGAAGCAGAAGTTCGCCTTGAAAAAGCTACGTTCACACCGTCCTGTAGTCCGAATCACACTAGTTCCCATGTGAGACCAGGCCATCCCAGTGTGACGATGTTCGCAGACTTGAAGCGCTCGACCACTGGCATCTACGTCTTTGATGTACACCAGAAAACGAGGTACGGTGCCAACTTTCGCGCCTCTTAAGAGCGACCAAACACTCAAATATTCAGTGGTTCGGAAAAGTGCTGAATACAACCGATGAACTAGCCAAACTTTTACTGCCAGCACCTAGTGTGGTTGCTGCTGTAGTCTGGGACAAAATCTTAGGATATAGATACAACCATTGGGCTGAATTCGAACACTTCGGTCTTCATTGGGTCCATGGAATTAGCTACTAGGCCAGGAACTAGACTGCCACGTTCCCGCGCCTGATCGCTGATCGTTATGTGGCAGTAGTTCGAGACAGCATTGGAGTTGACTTATTATCTCCCAGGAGACAGTCGCAGAAGAGCGATGGAAACTCATCAAACCGTAGCACTGAAAATCGTGCCGGGTAGCCATCGGGAAAAGATGAGATGTCTGTGGTTAGAGCGCGAACTTACTGGCCGGAAGTCCGTGGTTCGAACTCGACCTCTGCATCCCGACTTCCCTTGTCTAGGATTGGGCAACCTGGCTGTATCCCAGCCCTCGTGCCATCGTCCGGTGGTATGGCAGTTAGGCACTGAAAGGGTGCTACAGCTGAACTATGCACATACTTCATTCAGCCAACCATAAAAGCTGTAACCGATGCGTGGCAGCCTTCACCCCCTCCCCAAACAAAATTCAAGAACTGGCTGGAGGAGAAAGGACTGCAAGAGAATCCTGTACGTGTCACCTCTGCCTCCAGCTGATCAATCAGCAGCTCGTGGGGTTTCTTTTGCGTGCTAAATAGTTAGTGGCAACCACCACCACCCTCCACTTCAAGAGTAGTGGATCTGCAGTGGTAATGCTTCTTTGCAACCGAGTGAAGCACATGAACTGGTCTATTGCCAAAACTACCCGGCCCGTTCTATTGCACCATGGCCATGGAAAATTAGAAATGGCCGATGGCTTTCGCCCACAAACACAAGGACGTCTACTGTTTATCCCAACTGCATCATCATAAACATATTGGAGCTCAAATTCTACGCAAACACAAGAGGGCAGAAGCAAACCCTTTGCCCAAACGGTTGATCCATTTTTCAAGAGGCACCATAACGGAAACACTATGTCATTGGCCCGGATTCACTGCTTGACTATCACTTAGCAGGCATTTGATAAGCCAAACGGCCTGATTCGTTTCATCAAACAGGTTCACCTTGGATGGGCATGCCACCATCGTTCAGCTGTAGCACCCTTTCGGCGCCTAACTGCCATGCCACCCATAGGAGGCACGAGGGCTGGGATACTGTCAGGTTGCCCAAGCCTAGACAGGGGAAGTCGAGAGGCAGAGGTCGGATTCGAACCACGGACCTTCCGGTCGGTAAATTCGAGTACTAACAACCTGGTCCATCTCGCTCCCGATGGGCACGCAGCACCATACTACAGCTCTTTGTGGCAACACAACGTGCGAAATAAGGTAGACCTTCGAGCCCAACATCTGTAATTATTTTCAAAATATCAGAATACTTACTCGTTTAATGGTCAGTGTCCAAAATAAACTGGATGAAGAACACTGGTTTGTACTTTCCACGAATACAATTTCGGACTGTTGTGGGCTTTTCCGAGAGGTAGGACCAGACACAGCTGACTCACTATAGGGCTGAACCTGTTACAAACCCAATCCCGTGGAATAAAAATTCCAATCCTAATAAACCTACCTTCTCTCGTGGCTGATATAATGCGAAACGGTTCCACAATGAGATTTACCAGCCTCCCCATTTATACTGGGACAGCGGCTCCAACGTAACTGACACGCGACATCCCTAGTTAACCCGTTTAACGATGCCTAAAAAGACAGTTCCGACGTAACCCGTTTAACGATGCCTAAAAAGACAGCGAACCACCGGTGCTGAACACCCAGGTCACTCTCTGACGTCTGGAGGTACACGCCTAGCGTCATAAATCGACGACCGCTATTTAAACACCATGATCGTGACCGCTCGGCAACACGACTGGTTTCCAGCTGTACATGTGGTAGCGAGCGCTTTTTCGTACTTACAACCGACATTCTGTAACTTCTGACAGCTCACATAAAATTCTTGGTCCGCCATGCCGTTGGTGACACCACCGTTTGTAAGAGCAGTATTCAATTTGCGGCGCCAAGCATCTTAATCAGTTCCATTAGGAATCAATAAAACCTTTTAGGTCACACGTGATAGTATCTAACCCGTGGATCCTCATCTTCCACTCCTGTACAACGGGTTACCAGGTTCCCTTGTAATTAACCAAGGAAATTGCTGAGAATTTACAATCAGTGACTGCGATTTAAAAAGCGACCTGCGCGTTCTCGATGTATCTAGTCAAGCAGCCCATGTGGCACGGCACTCCCAGGTAGTGGATACAGGACTCATCGCCGGCAGACTTCACCGACACATGCCAATCTGCGGCGAGCGCTATTGGCTCTACCGATAAGTTACATACACGCTACTCTAGTTGCTGTGCCATGTTTTTTTCGGGATATAAAACGAAACTCCGCGTGAAATCGGGTTGGGAATCCGAAGGCCCCGGAGGTCCGTTTCAATTTTGGGGCAGGAGTGCTACCCACCACTTCGAGATCGTGGAAAACCCAGACTGTTTGAGCACATGATAAACAACATGGCCCGTATTATGAGCTACCACATGCGTCTGAAGCAGGCGTTCTGCAACTCGCCAAAATACCTTTATCCGAGGTAGCTAATCCAAGTAACCCAACGTGACCAGGTCCCAAAAATTCACTGGACGCAAAATACACAAGAGAATAACCGGAAGTAGCACATGTTGAAAAGCATCAGGCGTCAATTACACCTTTGGAAGATACATATATACCGTCCAGAAATTTTCGAATATCCTTGTTTCGTACTTTGCAGGACTGGTGAATTTGAGCCGCTGTAAGAAACAAGCTTAGGGACTAGTTTGAACAACTTACCGCACTTAGCAACTTCCTCAATATCGTTGCCTTCGAGCTGAATCTCATCTTTCACTCCAGATTGCGAAACCTTCACACCTCTAACGAGGTTTACAAACTTATTGCTCTTCTCGCCAAGGAAATTTCGGATTTCGAGCTTTGAACCGTCACCAGATACGACCATATTTATGGGGAAGTGGGCATACACGGACTTCATCTTGTATCGGTAGCCAACAGTGACGCCCTTGATCATGTTCTCGATGTGAGAACACACAGTCCTTACGGCAGCCAATTCTTTCCGGTCTCCAAAGTATTTCGTAACTGTGAGACGTTTCTTGGTGGTCTTGATGTCCACAGAAAGATGTGTGAAGCTGCGCTTCAATGTGCCACGAGGGCCTTTCACGATAACTAGCCGCCTAATGGCGTTTACGGTGACGCCGGGCGGAATAGTTATGTGTAAGCTGGATTTAATTGTCTTCATAATTGTTTATATGCCAGCAGGAACACCTGGATAAGAAACGCTCGTCACAAGAGACCAGCACGCCCTTCTCACAATGCCCGTTAAGTGTCGCGCTAAATGTAACGACGCAGCACACTATAACAGCCATTAGTTCACGTTCGGCCTCAATAGCTTTACGGATTCAAGGATTCAAGGATTGATACACAGGATCGAGGCTTTTGCCCAAGTTTCCCGGGTTAGTTTTGTTCTTGTCGGTCAGCGGCTGTCGTTCACCTGAAAGGCACAAGTGAAAAAAGGGTGTAGCACTGCTCTTTATGTTCTCAGCGACGGGCAATTTGCTTGCCAGCGCGAGGATTCGCATAAATAAATGTCCAATAGTGCTTTAAACTGGGTTCTAGGAGGAGAGTGGACAACCGCCGCAGGAAGTTCATTCCACGCAGCTACTACCCGAAATGAGAAAAAAGTTTGTCTAAAGAATGTGTGTGCACTGAGATTGAAAATTTTCTCACTATGTCCCCGTCGGGTGTTTCCTGGGTCAACGGTGAAAAACTTGTTTGCCAAGCTTTGTTCAAACAGAACATAGGTAAGAATTAGGTCCACACGGAGGCGACGGTACTTCGGGGGAAAGAGACCAAGCATCGCGAGACGCGTTTCGTAGTCCACGGACTTGAGGCCGACAACAATTCTCGTGGCGGCCCGCTGGACACGCTCAATGAGGGTAACGTCTTTCGTAC